TAATATTTCTGTTCCATTTAAACATTGCCATGTATTAGGAACCACATTCCAGCCTTGTTTAAGCATGCAAATCATCCAACAAAATATGAAGGGGAAAAATCCCAGTTATTCAACACTCCTTCCCCCTATGGGACACCTTTAAACTCATGCAAAACTGCACACACACAAAGCACAAGCTGTATACATTTCTGAATTCCTCCAAACCTGTTTCTAAGTTCAAAATATGTGACCCTGAGCTGCCTTTACATAAAGCCTCACTGGGAAGTTCTAATTGTGCTTTGAGTTCACAGATGTGGGTAAGCCACTTCTCATTAAACTTTCTAGAGCTCCATGAACCCTTTGACACGCATTTTCACATGTAAATATAAACACTGTCAAGCTTGTGAAACTTTGGTTCATTCTCCTCCAGAGGAGAACAAGGATCAACCACAAAAGGAAGCAGCCAGTTGGTTTTTTCTTATATACTAAAGGCTCAACCCCATATAAACCACTAAAATCTGCTGTAATAACCAGTTTGGGACTTTGGCTGTTTCATTCATTAAAGCATCAGGACTTCACTATTAATTACACATTTTTTAGATAAAAGGGGTGAAAGAAGAGGAAATGGTGACCAAAAAAAAAAAAAAATCCCAAGAAAGTGTTGAGTATCTTTTTATTGAAAGACAACAAACACAAGGGAGCCATTAATAGTGGCAAAGATGGGGGGAGGTGGAGGGGATTTCAATCAGCCTTTTCATGTTTATTCATTTTTAAGTAAGAAAGCCTTTCCTTCTGTCCAGTTTTTGCCTTAACTAATATAACCAGACATCAGGCATTGCACACAACCATCCCCTTTCTGAGTGCTGCCTCAATGATTATTTCAGTTCTGACACAACGACAACCAACCCAAGCACTAAAAAAAGTGGGATTTTCTGTCTGCAAGTAGACAAAACAGATGCTCTGTGCCAGAGATATCCAATCTGTGGCCCACCTGGAAAATTCATCTTACTTACAATCTATTCCTACCAGCTTTTGAGCACTAAGAAGATGCCTATGGAGACACATTATGGCAATGCAATACTGAGTGCACTGAATTTATGGAAAAGGTCCAGCCAGGCTGTCAGGTCCTTCTTGCTTTAAAAAACAAGCTACATGCTCTGACTCAACCACAGCGCTGGATCTATTTCCAAACTGAGAATTTGTAGTAAGTTCTGATATGAAGCATGAATATTTATCAAATATTAATTAAACTCTGGTATAGGAAGACCTACTAAGTGGAGAAGCACAGCTTTTAAACCTATGAATGAATAGAAAGACGTGTGCTATAAAACTATAACCTTAATTATTACTCTTCTGTCAGGTGGTTGGGAGAGATTATTCTTAAGAACTACAAATCACCTGTGACAACTTCCAGATTTATCCAACAGGAAGAGCTCTGAGATAACCTGCAAAGGCCAGCAGGTATCAGGAAGTCACACAGACACTCACAACTGTGGTTTGTACAGGCTATTATTTATCTACATTAGGACAGTCCAGTCTTATCATCCACAGGCCCGTTCCTTTTGGCAGGAATCTCCTCATGTGTCACTCTAGACTTACTGTCTGCTTTCTAAGTGAACAACCATATGAAAGAAGAGTAGTCTCTTGTCTTTGGGGAGGAAAAAATGGTAGGTCAGATGGAATTATGCTTCAGGCTGAACAGAACACTCCATGGGCTGGAGACTAAACTAAGCTAAGGCAGTGATTTAACAGACGTGGATATGAACTCAGCTCTTTTCATTACAGTCTCCAACAATCCCTAAAAACTACTTGTATAAATATTTGTGCAATTAATCCAACCATAAAACCATTCAGACCTTTTTACTTATACAGCCCACTAAAATTTCCAGCGTACAAGAAGGGCTGCATGATCAAACCTCAGTCACATTTACAAGCACAATCCAGACTCGGATATCCTGTTGGATTAGTTTTAATCTACATTTTTTTCACTTACTCCAACATCAAAACAGTCAGTTCTCTTAATTTGTTTACTCATTTTCTTCCTGTACCTGTCACTGTGCTCTGTTCTTACTGAACAGTTAAGATTATCCACTTTTAATTGGTTTTTCCACTCTTGGCCAGAAAGAGTGAGTCTACCAGAACACATGTACATGTATTTTAAGGCTTATATCACTATACCTATAAAAGCCTGCTTTAATCACCTACCATTTATACACAAGATAACCATGAAAAAGCAAATATTAATCTCTTAAAAAGTAGGGTTTTTTCATTATCATGCTCTCTTTGTACTCTACCAGTCCCCCCCCACTCTCTAGGGTCTATATTCTGAATTTTCACGCATACCATAAAGTATCTTTGGAATGTTACAGTATAATTGTTTAGAGAAACATTTAACAGATGAGTAAGCATCAAGAGGCCAGGGCTAAGGGAAAAGAGAAGTTAAAATGCTGGCAGTATTTTGTATTGAATGATCTTCTCAGCATGAGGACAGGGGATGGACATTTGATCCAAAAATCTGGTATTGACTCAAGTGATACAAACCCAGAGCCAGCATGGAGGGTATGAAGGCACCTACCAAAATATCTGCTCCCACCCACCCCTCCCAGAATGGGCTTTGGGCACTGACCAGTAGAGAAATCCAATGTTGTTTGATCAATAACAGGAATAACAGGAATATTATGATCGGGGATGACACGATCTTGACAATTGGCTCTTTATCCTTTTTTAATGCTTTCCCAATTTACTTCCCAAATAATCTGCATGTGCATGATACAGAAATACAGAATTAGCTGGAAAGAGAGCCAGGCATCGAGTACAGAGGCACCAACAAAAAAGCTGAGCATTCTTTCACTATAAGAAACTGCTGGAGACAACATGCTGTAAATTAAAGCAAATTTTCCTGAATTCCCTGAAGGATACTCCTCTGGGAGATTGTACAAATCCATTAGCACAGGTCCATCATTAGTGTTTTCTTGGGGTTCATTTTCTGAAGAGAGTTTAAAAAAGCACACCCAAAATAAAGTGTATGGAGTGGGACAAATCAGGCCTAACCTTACATAATTGATTCATACCCTGATTATTAGAGCACAGCTGAGAGGGCTTTTACTCCCAATTCCTCCTCAGCCACATACTTTTTTAAGCAAGAAAAAACCAAAATAATCATCCCCCTACCTGAATTCCTGACCAGAAGAAGGGGGACAAAGGCAGAAGAAGTGCTGACATGCTCTGGAGACCAAGCAGTTCTGTGATAGCAGAGCCAGAAAAGCCCAGCTGCCCCAGCCTGGTGCCACAGCTGAAGCTTGTCCCATGATTGGGCACCTAAACTCTCCCTCCGAGGGGGTTCTGTGGTGCTTAACAACAAACAAGTTACAGCTGGTGCAGTACAACCTTTCCAAGCTTCAGACTTCCATAAAATTCTCAGTAATGTGGTGTCTCTGAGGAACTGCTGTTCCTGCCTTAAATTTGGTGGAGAGCAGGGAACGTGTTAAAAATCAATGAGGGACACGCAAATAGTGTGACAATATAAATCTGAGCTTGTTAATAAACTCATGGATGAGTGGCACAAGTTCTGCTATGGAGCCTTCTAATTCCAAACTCAATGGATTTTTTAAAATTCCTAATATCTCTGTAAAATTGGTGAATCTAAATCATCTGTAAAAATAGTGGATTGATTAAGGCTTTAAGAGGTATCTGTAGGCACATGAGATTGCAAGGGACTTCCCAGGTCACCATATTTGCATCCTGCTATCAAAACCACTGCATTAAATCATCTCTTCCAGAACAAACACTTCCCCATCTTAAAATGAGTTTTCTTTTTCATATCCTCCCTTATATAACCTCAAAATTAGGATATTCCTTTTCATTTTCAGCTTAATTCATTAAAGACCCCATCCAGTGGCTATTTAGATGAAACACTACAGACTGTGTAGGACAAGTTTTGACATCCTCAGCTTTTTCCTTCTCTTCACCAACACAGTGATCCAGGTGCTGCTGTCACATAAATTCACCAGATTAAATCTCTGTTTTTTCTAATGCCATACTCAAAGGCAAATCCAAATATTCTAGGGGTAACTTTTCCTGTAACTGCTTTCCCTTGGTGAACTGCAGGGAACTGTAACATCACTACTGACTTAAAAACAGGGTCTGTAGATTCCTTGCTGTGTTACAACACCCAGAAGAGCCTGTGAGTATGTCTTTGGGGTTTGGTAACGGGGAACACAAGACAGTTTATAATGAAGTCTAACAAACTGGGTATGTTAATCTTTTCAGCCACTTAAATCCAGGGAAATCAAAAGCAAATGTCTTCCTACCATAGCATCCCAAAACCCAACCCCAAATACTTGGATCTTAATGCCTGCTGGGATGTTTTCTGCTAACCATCCGTTAGGTTTCTTACAATATTCCACGCAACATTCCCCCACAAGCTGGATTGATTTCTTCCACGGCTTAACTTGTTTTTGCCAAAGTCTCTTTTAGTTCAGCACTGGCCTCCTGCCTAATGAAACAACCTTTCTTTATGCCAAAAACTGTCATCTTCAGTTGCACAAGACTCATCTCACTTACAAACATGTGTAATGAGCCCAATGTTTAATGCCTGAAGAACTGCTATTTTCAAATGATCCTGAGCAAAACTTAAAACAGACACAGGAGTGGTCGGTACCTTGGGTGGGAAAGGAATCGTTCTCAGGAAAGGTTTTTTTTCCTTTTGTGTTTAAATACACCTTTTACAAACAAGTCCCTGATCATCAGAACACAAAAGCAGATGTATTTAAGCCCAACAGCAGTGAGACATGGAAGGCCCACACTGAACTGAAGTGAAAGCTTCATTCTCACCCAGTGTGAAGTCATCCTTCACATGCACCACAGCCTTGGCTCTTATCAAACAGACTGGCCTTTAAATACAAGAATCTGATAACCTTAGTAAGTTATCAAGCATTGCTAATGACTGAAAAAATCCATCTAAATAAACCTCCTGCTGTATTTTCCTGCCGTAATTTCAGACACAGCTGGAACAAAAATACCTGTGTGAGAAGTTGCTCCTGGGTCAGGTTATTGATCCAGCGAGTGTATCGTTCAGTGGAGTCCAGTGGCTCTCTTCTGACTTGGCAACCAACAATCTAAAGCAAAATGAGATAAATCCCACAGTGTAAACTGCTGCACACCCACGTGGCAACAAAACAAGTTCATAAAATAAACATTCAAAACATGGCAAGTCCAAGAATTATCTATACACTCCTTGTTACCCCCCTTTCATGTCCATAATATCATAAGGCACAGTTGCTCTGCTCAATTGTTCATTAGTGACAGACTCTGAGGGTCTCTAGAAAACCAGCATTGAGAAGTGTCTTTCCAATAGCTTCATTCAGGGGAATATTTGAAGCATTTTGGTTGAAATTTTCAGACGAATGTAGACATCTAAAATGCAAAATTTCACCCAAAATAGTTAAGGTTTGGCAAATGAAAATGGGAGGTTGAATAACACCAGACAATTGTACCAACAGTGTCATAAGCCACAATACCACACACGACTTTTAATTCATATAAAATAAAGGAAAAAACCCCAAACTGTACTAATCTTCAGATAATCAAGTTCTGTTCAAGAACAGGTGGAAAACTTCCTTGGTTTATTTTCCACCCTAAGGAATGAAGTGCATATACTGAGCACAGCAAGTTTCAATCTTCCAGGTATCTATTTACAGAGCTGTAAACCCCACATGGATGAGAGCAGTCAGGCTGGAATTCTGCACGTGCAGTTCTGAATACTTTTGATGTGGGAACAAAAACACCACGAGGAGACCTTGCTGGGGGACTGCTGGCAATGAAACATCACCATTTAGACTATGATTAAATACAGTCCAAATAACAAGCATGGAAAAAAAAAAGAAAGCAAGATTTGCTTATCCCATAAGAATAAACCAGAATGTCTCTGAACTATGAAAATTTTCCTCAATGACAATGATGAATTACTATGGAAAACTTCAATCCTTATCCTAACTTACTCCTCAATTACAGCTAGGTAATAGCAAGACCTTTTCAGAAGGTTAACCTAAAATTCTTTTAAACTGAATATAAATTAGTAGAGTTCCTAGAGGTGTTTTTAATAGGGGCACTCCACAGAGATAAAAACTTGACAGAAGCTGTGTCAGATGTACATACATCCTGTTCTTCAAGGATTATTTTTATTTAAGAATAGAACTACATACAGAACTCATTCATTATCTGGACAATAGAACATTGTAATCCACACTTAACAATCTTATACTTGTTTCATATATAGAATTAAAGAAAGAGAGGAAAAAAGGATTGATATACTTAACACTTTACTAAAATGTCTTCCATAATAGTGGCTTTAAGTTTGCTTTTTCTTAAATTACCTAAATGTGCTATGCACACACATATCTAAAGTATTTCTTTCCAAAAGGCTTTCTAATTATTTCTAAAATCTATTCTTTTACAAGCAAGTTGAATTTCTGTCTTCACTCCTCCTCCTCATTCCAAAACCCAAACCTACACAACAACCTGGGAATTCCTTCCTTTGCAAGCAAAGGAACAAAGCATCCATGGTTGGTGCTCTTGGTGGCCTTTCACTGCATTTTCATGGATGAACCAAACCCATCAGCAGGACACATAAAAGAAACGATTTCCCTCCTGCAGAAGATGGTATAATAAAGCATCATTTAACCACCTTCTTTATTTACAATGGCATCACATCAAAATACATAAAATACAGCATTACTGCTTGTTCCTGGGAACAGCTGCATTTTAACCTTGTAACACAACAGGAAAATAGCTACAAACAGATAACAAAGTCACCACACTGTAAGAGGTGAAATGTTTGCTCTCCCCTCTCCCCTAAGAGACCTCCTGCTTGCTTTCCATTTTCAGGACCAACACCACTCAAGAGCACTTCTGGCACCATCTCAAGAGCTTTGTTTTACAGAAAAATCTTAAAATTGTGGCTATGCAATCAAATTTATTTCTAGATCTTCAGCCAAACACATTCCACACCTTTCTGCTCTTTAGCTGCACTATTTCTCTCCCAACAGGACTCTGACTCACGACTGGGATTTTTGACTTATGGTTGCAAGATAAACACCACCAACCTGAGTCTTTGATAGAGGGTCTGTAAAGCCCAGCTCATGTAACCAGACAATGAAAATCAGATTATTTAGAGTACAAACAGCTTCCTCCAGCTCCCCTGTGTAAGGTGTGGCAGCAGAAACAACTGCACACTGATCCACATTTCCTCAGTGTCTCACAGAGCTTTTATATTCATTCACTGAATATTTCTTCTTGGCTCCTAAATTGAAGTGAAAGTTTTCTCACTGTTGCTTCTTTCATAACTTTTAAAATACTTTGATAAAAATCTTTCTGGCTTATTTTACACCCATTCAGACCTTCCAGAAAGTACAAGAAACTCCATATTATAAATATGCTTTTCAGTATTTTGAGAATCAGTTTCTATGCAAAAATATAGTTCAGCCAAGTTTCAACTTTCTGATCTAATTAGACAAGTTTATTTTTATTATTGCAAATGCCAACTGTATACTGGCACACACCTGTACCAAGATTAAACTATGTAATATATACAACAAATACAATATATTTCTTATTCCAACTGGAAACTTGCTGAAGTGCAGTATTAATATTCCTTGTATAGGAAGCAGTAACATGACCCATGAACAAAAATTGTTTCTGGCCCATAGCAAAGGACTGTGGCAGTTCATGGAAAAGCAAAACTTATCAGGAGAGAAAATCATGACAATCCTTTTTTCTATAACAGCAGATGAGGTAATTTGCTTTCTAGACAGACAATTACTTTTTAAATGTATTAAAGGTAACTTAGAGTTTATTTAGCTATTTATTTAATTGCAATCAGCATTGGCCTCTCTGGAAAAAATATAGAAAATAATTTATACTTTATTGCAGCAAGAGACAGTGATAGAAAAGAATAGTAAGAGCATAAAATAGTGGGTTTGTCTTAACTGCCAATAAATACATTTGCTGAAAGGCCATACAAGTAAACTTTAAAAATATAAACAGCTTAAAATGAGCTTTGTGGGAAGAAGTGGGCAAATATTCCACCAGTAGCTGCCAACCCTCTCTAGATGGTCTCAGACAGCCTAAGATGTCAAAACAGAATTACAGGTCTATGTTTAAGCACCTGTAATAACTCTCCCACTTCACATAATCTGGAGTGGAGTTAATGAATCATATCTAAATAAGATCATCAGAAACAATGTCACAGTTATGTACTTTATGGTACTACATTTAAAACATTTTCAGGAGTTAGAGAACTATAAAGCCAATCCAATATGACAATGATACAATTAAAAAAGTACAAATAACAATATAAAATAAGGTTTCTCCATGAAACAGTTGCTCTAAGTTGGTCAGAGAACCCTGGGTTAGCCATGATGTCTGAAATACAGATTTAATGAGCACATTTGATAACTTGTTGATCAATACAAAGCCCAGAAGAACTAGGTAGGATTACTAAATACATCACTAAATGGCACTACGAGCACACACAGTCACAGTTGTGTGAGTTACAAAATTGTTCCCCTGAAACACAAGATGATTTCAGTCCCACATCTGACAGGTACAAACCCCAGCACCCTGTACCAGCAGCAGAGGCTGGTTTTAAATGCAATATTCAGGTGGAGATCCTTCTTATTTGCACCATTTCAGGTTTTTAAGTTTCCCCTTGCACATACAAATGGAAAAGGAAGCAGGTGAGAGGAAACAAAGCTGAAATGAGTTGACAGTAATTAAAACCAACACACTTTCTGCAGATGTGGCACTTTTGGGTTTTTTAATCACTACAGCTTCCTTTACCACAACCTTTCTTATTCAGGAGGCAGCCTATGGGTCAGAACTCTCCCGTTGTACTCAAGAGGAAAGGAGGATGAAAAATTAATTAATTAGTCTCCAGTTTTATACCAGTATTTTCCATCCTTGTTTTATAAAAAGAGGAAATGAACAAAGACAGGCAAAAAACCATAAACTCTCCATAAGGCAGTAGGCACTGGGTGAACAAACACATGGGAGTCCTTCATATAATAGGTCTTATTTGAAGGAACCTAATCTTAAGGTTTTTTTTTTTTAATTGAGCAACCACTACTGATACTGAAACAGGTATTGAAAAAATATGCATTTTAGCATGAAAAAATGCACAGCTTTCCTGTACAAAACAAATGCAATTTTCAAAGATTATGTAAAGTAGAAGAGTTTCTTCTACACCCTGAGGAAGAAGGTGCAGTGTTGAGTTCCATGTTAGAAATATGACAGAATGATAGAAACCTCCTTTTAGAAGAGAACATAATTAACTACTTAGTGAAGCTTTAATTAGAAGTATCATAACATCTGATCCTAGATAATGTTCTGTAAGAAAGACTATTCAAATAACAAGTAATATAGGAAGGATTATCTCTAGGGCATGACACCTTTTTGCCCAATAAGTCTGTTTATGGGTGCCTACAGAGGGGAAAATCCTAAACTAAAGAGCTAACAAGAGTTATTTACGTTATCCTGAATGTTTAAGGCAGCTTTAGTTAACCAAGCCTACATCTTGATGTGTAAAGGAAAGGTAGATGTCACCTCTGCTGTCCCTAAACCCTACTTATTTTTGTTCTAGTCATTTCCACACAGCAATTTCCTTTAAGCAGGATTTAGTGATCATCATTTAATGCAGTGAAAAAAAGAAAAATAAACAAAAGGAATAGTTTTATGTGGTTAAAATCCTTCCAAAATTATATACTGGGGGAGGAAGGGAGTAAAATGTATTTCCTCTCCCTTTCATTTCCAAAGCAGGAAACTGTTCTTCAAAACACCCAATTTGCATTAGGTGTAAATATACAAAACACACCCTGGTGTATTTAAAGCATGTCTTAAAAATTATAAAATATGTTGATAGTGCTGGCTCCCCAGAGAATCCTTTAGGTCAGATGAATATCCATTTCCACAGATGTTCTTATCTTGGAGCAATCCATATTTAAGAACACCTGTTAAACATCCTACTTTGACACTGGTTCAAGTCCAAAGTCCACGAAAGGATGTTACAGGTTTATTTTCAGCACAGAAAAAGAGAGTAATTAAAAGCCAAGGAAGTCTGGAT